AATGTTTCTGCTATATACATAAGAATATTGTGGGTACTTGTTGGAGACGTTTCAATGAATATGCAGTTTATTAACATTCAATTGTTATGATTTAATTTATTAATTATTAAAGATATTATCAGTCAAAGTGATTGGCATACGTGCATAAGACAAACATTTCACTTATTTAAACACAGAGGGAGTATTTGGCTGTTAATTGAGAGGTTAACGAAATTGATTGACTTATATATATATATATATATATATATATATATATATATATATTTACACGATGATATAGTTAAAGAATTGATGTCCTTATATAATTGAGCAATGCATATCTGTAATGTTTTTTTCCTATTTATTTTAAAGATCTTAACAATATTACAGAGTATTAATTGAATCATATAAGATATTTTAGGACTAAATCGTATCAAAATATGTAATATTTGTTGGAGTTTTAATAGTAAACTCCAAATAAGTTGTGCTTCAAAAGAATTCACCAACCGCAGCTAGAAAGAGAACAGAAGAGTAGTGAAAAAGGAATCCCTCAAAGCCCCTTCTCCTTTGTCAAAAATTGCATTGTATAGTAATTTTCATGGCATCCTAAATTAAGATAATTCCTTGAAATATGCTCAATTAGTCAATTGTTTTTGGCTTAATTGGGGGATTTAGATGCCTTTCATTTTTGGTCTAATTAGTGACCAAATTCGTTGTATCTGGTTCACTCTCATTCAATTCGTGACGTGACCAGATTTGTTGTATCCGATTCACACTCATATACTAAACATCTCTTTTTGTCCCTTTTCAAGGACAGGAAAAGTGAGAATATATCCTCTCTTAAAATGATTCCTCATGACCTCCTTTTTTCTTGAGCATTGTTCGAAGGTGTTTTCAATCTAACTCTTTGTACTACACCGAAGAGTTGGAGTCGTGTATCTCTAGAGGTTGATTGCTATGAGTCTGCGTGTATTGTGCGAGGCAAATTCGACTTTAGGGCAGTGATTTATTGTCATGCCATGACATTTTCCAGAGAAGTCATTTAATTATTTTTATTGCTATTAGTCATATTTCTTACAATCTAAAGCCGTTTCTTCTATTTTTCAGATTATGGCTAATAGGGAGACTAGTTTAGTACACATCAATATTATTAAGATTATTAAAACTCAAAGGCAAGGAGTGTCATATTGCCATGTGTCACTTTCTTCTTCTAAATTTTCCATGTCACATTCCAATTGTCACATGTTAAATAGGTTTTCACCGCTTTACCACCACGTAACCACAAGTTAGTAAATTTATTTTGCATTTAATTGTTTTGCTTATTTTACTCTTCATATTAATTTCCAATCTTTAATTGGAGCTAACATTAATCTTTAATTTCATGGTTTAATTTGGTTTAATTAATTTAAATATATATTTTGATATTTTGAATGGAATCTCAATGCTCATTCCCTTGTGATTTGGCTGTTGAAAAGCGTGACTTTTGGACTATTTTACCTAATGGAGTAGTAAAGTATTTGCCTAATTTGATTTGATTTACTCTATAATTACTGATGAATCTCAATGCCAATTTTCAGCTATTATGTCAATTATGTAAATGCCAATGTGTTTAATTTTTGTAACTGATGTATTTTATGTTTTCCCAAAAAAATATGCAAACAATTAATAGTCACCATCATATATATTGGAACTAACCCTTCCTATATATTTCTAGACTGTAGTGGTAAATCAACCACCGAAACCCTTGGAGGTAAAAATTATTTTTGGTTTGTAACCAATAATTTCGCGTATTTTACTGTGTTCTATTTTTTTTTATTGGTGCTAATTACTTTTTGCTTACTTATACGCTATTTAGATTTGATAAAGGCCAAATTGCAGAGTGGAGATTTGTCACTCTTCTCATAAAGTAAGTCATTCTTGGTGAATTATTTTTGAATTTCTAAACTATTAATGTTTGTGATACATATTTTTTTAGATTTGCAGTGTTGTAAGCCTTTTTTTGGCGGTTAGTTGACACTCTACTCGAGTTGCAAACACCATGGAAACAATAATCTCCTTAGTAGGCTGCCGTATAGTATTACCTTCATCATTTGATGGTAGCCCCAAATTAATGATGCAAAACTACCAAGATGCAATGAGCATTTGTCGAAGGATCAAACTACCTAACTTATTCAATACTTTCACGTGTAACCCAAAATGGAGTGAGATAAGCGAATTTGAGCAATGACCTTAAGATCGTGCAAGACAAGAAGATATACAAATGTTGCGTATAATAAATTCTACAAATGTAACTGCCACAACATCAAATACAGTTCTAAACAATGGTAAGAAAAGGAAAAGAAACACAATGTAAGCATAAGGAGTTCCTTTATTATGGAGATAATGCAACTTAAGGATTTTGCAAATAATGATTAGCATGACAAGAAAAAAAAAAACCTTAATAGTCTTCTTACTGTAATGACAACAGCCTAACGACTATTCAATTTATATTCACTATATCAACCATCATCCAAAAAAATTTTAAATCGGGGCATCGGTTAGATCACAAACTAGTTGATTTTATTATTTGCTGGTCGATTTGTTTAAGCGTGGATTTTGGAAATCATGTTGTACTTATAATTTAATATTAGTTGCATTGCATGGGTATTAACATTTCGGTAGAGTATATGCTGTGCTTCCATACACTACGCATATAGCAATTGAATATAGCTTGTTATAATTTGTTTGTTATAAGTATATTTTAATTTCCTGCAATTTAGAAGTGTATCTTTTTGTTATTGCCTTGGATTATTCGATTGATTTGATGAAATTGAGATCATTATTTGTCGTATCTCCCTATGTTTTTATCATCAAAGACCTTTGATAAGATTAATACTCTAATTATAATATCACTACTCCGTTGTATAACTAGACGAGTGACTTTGCATTGATAATTTAGAATTGTATAATGTCACTAACTTTTCCATTGGATTATAATATTGGAAGTAGCTTAGCGACCAAAATGTTGCGTCATCAATGATCTGAGCGTTTAGTTGGGAATTCTCAACAGTGACCCTCAACTTCTGCTACGCACTAATGGTCACCTCCCTTTTTTTTTATTATACAAAATGTCCTTAGTTAAAAATTTCATCTCACTCATAACCTTATTTCATTAAATATTAACTATGGTTAGATTTCTATTTAAAAAAAAAATTAAAAAGAATTAACCCAACCACCAAAAACCAGCCACCAGCTGCCTAGCCACCATCTCCCTTCCGGCGACACTACCCCATGTTCCATCGATCGCCGCCGACACTACCCAGTCTCCCCCGACCGCTGGTGACACTACGCCAACTCCACCTCGACCACCGCCAAGCCCGATTCTCACCCGAACCGACCTTAACCTCACAACTCTCTCTCCTCTGAACATCGATACTCGCCGCTTCGTCGTGAGGTTTCAATCTGGGCGGGGATCGGAGAAAGCGGAAGATAAAGAGAGAGGGGGTGGAGGAGAGGGCGGAGAAGAAAGAGAGAGCAGGAGGATCGACGGTCGGTTCTAGGTAATTTGGAGATCTGGGGTGGTCGAAGTTTGGCTTTGGCGGTCTGGGGGTGGTCGGGGTTCTAAGTTCGGCGAACTGGGAGTGGTCGGGGTTCTAAGTTCGGCGATCTAGGGTAGTCGTTGTTTGGGTTCGGCGATCTGGGAGTGGTCAGGGTGGTCGGGGTTCTAAGTTCGGCGATTTGGGGTGGTCGTGATTTGGGTTCGGCGGTCTGGGAGTGGTCGAGGTGGTCTCGCCGGAAAGGGAGATGGTGGCTGGGCAGGTGGGGGTGGCCGGTTGTTGGTGGTTGGGTGATCGAATTATTCGGCGGCTGACGGTGGTTGTCTCGTGGGAAGCGGCTGCTGGTTGGTTGCAGGCTGTTGTGCGAGGGAGTTGTTGCGCTGGGGTTGTGCGGTGATGGGTTGAAGGTGGAGGTAGGGAGATGGTGGCTCCGGTGAGGGTGGAGGTAGTGCTGGCTACATCTGGTGGGGATGAGGGTGAAGGTGGTGGCTGGGTTGGTGGTTTTTTTTTTAGTTTTTTTTTTTTTTTTCAAAGTTAACCATAGTTAGTTTTTTTAAAATAAATAACACTCCTTAATGTCATATGTGAGATAAATTTCTTAATTGGGGCTGTATAATAAAAAAAAAAAAAAGGGAGCTGACCATTAGTGCGTAGCAGAAGTTGGGGACCACCGTTGAGAATTTTAACACTCCTTGGATGATGTTTTATTATCAAAAATCTTGTTTATCCTGAGGAGATAACAGATGAAATAGCAAGAGTGGATTCGTCTCTTGTGAGATAGCTCCGAACATGAAAGTTGAGTTGGACGCATGACTCATATGAATGCTCGTATATAAGATTGTGTGGCTATGCAAGGTGTGTTGCTTATGGAGAAAATTCGCATCTCCAATGTACTCAACGTAAATCAGGCCTTTTCACACGTGTGAACATACAGTATGTGAACATAATCTCAAAAAAGCATGCATTCAATTTTTCGAATTCGAGTTGTGGGAATATGATACAAGATTTTCTATAGTAGCAGTGACAAATTTGAGCTCCAATTATCAGAATAAATCAAAAAATGGACATGAAATCAATCAAAACAATCAAAATTCTTACATTTATTTTCGTTTATTATATTAAATGACTTACATTTATTTGCGTTATCCTTTGAAAATTTAGATGTAATTTAGTGTGTTCTTCTTACTTTTTTTATACTCCGTAGTTTGTATACTTGATGTTAAAAAAAAAAATAAAAAAAAATAAAAAGTAAAGTAAACCATTATTCATTCACTTTTCTTCCTCTCCATCATAAATTTATAACAACACGATGAGTTTAGTTTATTGCTAGGCTATGCCCTGAGTTGCTAGTTTGTATTTGAAAATTTTATATTATTCAACTTTAAAATGACTATCACTATACTTAATTTTCATTGGTCAATTTTTTTTTTTTTTTTGTCATACTTATAAGAAACGGAAAATTTTGAATTTTAACACCACAAAAAAACACAAAAATGGTTTTTAACACTACAAAAAGAAAAACAACTTTTATTTTAACACCCCAAATTTTTTTATAAATTAGCTATTGCCACCACTTAAGTGAATCATGGATGGAATCCGTTAGTGGGATTCACAATGCCTATGTGTCAGCATATTATTGGTCTAATATAATAAAAAAAATTAAAAAAAAAAACAAAAACCCTAAATCTAACCCAACCACCCCATCCCCACCGTCAACCACACCTTCGGCAGCGCGCCGCCGCTAATCCCTCACCCTAACAGCCTCTGTCACCGGCAACTTCGCTCCCTCCTTTTCCCCCTCCCCAAAACCGGCAGCTCTCCTCAATGGCTACCAAAAACGGCCGCTGTTTTGCAAACCCATTTAAAACGTTCACCGAAAACGGCCGCTTACGGTCGAAATCGGCCGATTTAGGGCCGAAATGGTCGATTTTAACCATAAATCAGTCACTTGCAACCATAAGTGGCCGATTTAGGGTCGTTTTGTGGTTGTTCGAAAAACGAACGGCCTTAAATTGTGGTCGTTGGGGTGTGATTGTCAGTTTTGGGGAGGGGGAAAGGGAAGGAGGGGATTTTCCGGTGGTTGGGGCTGAAAACGGGAGGGTTAGGGGTGGGGTTGTGGTGGCGGCGCGGTGCCAGCGGTTGGGCTTGGGTCGTGGTTGGGTTAGTTTTAGGGTTTTTGTTTTTTTTTTTAATTTTTTATTTTTTTAAACTAATAATATGGCAACACGTGGCACAATGGACCCCACTTAACGGAATTTTGGACAGCAACTATTAAGTGGTGGTAAAAGCCAATTTTTTTAATAAATTTTGTGATGTTAATGTTAAAATAAAAGTTGTTTTTTTTTTGTTTTTTTTTTTATTATAGTGTTAACACTCAAATTCGTGTTCTTTTTGTGGTGTTAAAATTCAAAATTTCCTAAGAAACGATTTATTATAAGTATTATTAGAGTGATTTGAATAGACACAATAATAATATAGCTTAAATGAAAGGTTTTATGGGTTTGCTATCTCATTACTCATGTGGCGCCAGGTCATGATGAGGGAAGATGACACGTGACAATACAATGTTGTCCTTTTGAGTTTTTATAATATTATAGATTCTATCTCATCATAGGACACGAGAGCTTACAAATGAAATTTGCCTAATTGCCTTTGGCTAAATTATCACCATATTTTCCAAACTTTAAATAAAACAACAGTATTAGAAGAGCAACTAGGCAAGCTAGGTATGTCCAATGAGGCAATGATCTTGTGCCAAATAGATTGTTCAATGGACTATGCACTAAATTAAACCCCGGCCATCAAATAAATCAAATCTTTGTATAGTTATTTACTCGGTAATTTGAAAATTGTATGAGTAGTAAGTAAAATAAATGTATGTCTCTAAAAATTCTCTTTGTTTAAAACTTTTTTTTTATAAGACAAATTATAAAAATAAGAAGAAATTTTAACGACAGAGGAAGTAAATTATTTATTGCTAATGCATGAATTGATTTTTTGCGCTAAAAGTTTGGCCATAGTTCCAAAATGAAGGCACAACATTGTAAAAAGTCATAGATTTGCCATCCACCAAAGTTAGTTTGAAAGAGAGCAATTGGTTCCTGAGGTCTTTGCTGCTTTGCCAATGTGCACCCCAGTTCCTGGACATAGGCACCCATTTTTTAGCCTTGGAACTTCTCACCCAACTCGCCTTCACGTCTCCGCTACCACCAACGTTGGAGATCATCACCATGTTGAAGTTTCCTTGCCCTCTCATTGTGAATCGGACACCGCCTCGCCTATGGCATGATACCCTATTTTATGTTCATCAAGCATATAAAATTAGTTACTGCATAATTATTTTAACTATCACGTACGCACAAGGCATGCATGTAATACATTAAAAGACCATAAGTATGTAAGCTAAAGATGAGGAAGCCAAATACTCCATCCCATATATAATTATAATCTTCCTTTGGATTTTATTTTTACGTTACAAGTTCATTCAAATCACAACAACTAACATTCTATTATGTACCGTAACAGTTTTTTAGATGAACATGCACCAACGTACACGTACTATATATCATAAAGTGGTCAATTTTAATGAAAATAAGATTTAAGTAGTATACCTTCTGAAAACGATGGGGATAATGCCCTCATTGCCCGGTCGAGCAATACGAAGGAAAGAAGGCATGGCCATGTCAAAGTGTTGGCGAGGAGGGTCACACCATCCTCCTTGGTTGTTAGGAGGGCAAAAGTTGGTGGCAGTCACGGTGACCCCTCGCCCTCGGAGGCACCATTTGGGATCGGCCTTATAGTCACACTTAACTTGGTAGCACGCTCCACATGCCTGCCCACTCCTAAACAACACACCGCTCAATGCCGTCGTGTGGACTCCAAATCCGGCGTGAATAGTGTTGTCGTACCCACAAGCTCCCCCTAGTAGTTGCAACATTCAATTAAATTAGACATTAATTAAGAAGATATCATAGATTTAATGTAGGCTTTATATATTATTGTACATGATTATAATAATTCTGAAAAATATATCTTGTACGTGATCTTCTTAACTAACTATCACGGCCAAAATTGACAACTCAAGCTTGAACTACAAGTACTTGCTATTAATTTGATGTACTACGAAGGGTATATTTATCTAAATCTCAATTTTCATAAGGTTATATAATACGAAGTACGAGAGCCCATTAATAATACCCGTTCTAATGAAACTCAAAGGACGACTATTACATGCATTATGCTACACAATGCTGCAAAATTGGACTAAGTTATTTTTCATTGGGGAGTCAAAAAGAGATACGATGTATGCTATACGAGATTCAATTCTAGGATTATATATATATGATCATGTTATTACCACTTCTCAGAGTCTATACATACAATTTAATTAAATTAGTTGACATTCGACAAACTCCAAATAATATTTGACACTAGTTTTTGAAATACAAAATCAAATTAGTTAGTCGGATATCCAAAACTACACTAGCTATTGTTAAATGGGCCATTTGGATACTTCAGCATATTTCTTATTTATAAATGTTGTATATAATGCATTGAAATATTATAAATCCATTCGGTCCATTCACTGATGTACATTACAAGGTACATTATACAAAGCTAATGTAATTAAGAGTACGAATCAACCTTGTGAGACAAAGAGGATATACATGCAATTTACAAAGTCGATATATTTCATCTACGTGCAAAGAGTGTATGTCTAATTATTGCGATTAGAACAAATTAAAGAAAAATGCTTAGCAATAATAAGCTTACCAAGAGTGGCAGGACTTTGATCAGCTCCATAAAAAGTAGCATGACCATTAAACCAACGATTAGCATGACGACGGCCATTGACACCTTCAAACACAATTCCCAAAAAAAAGATTGAATAAATTAACATAACACATGTAACTACCATAATATTCTTAGCCATTTTAATAATATGTTTGGATTATTTCTTCAAGAAGAATTAATCCAATTAGTATGCAACACTTGAATTGCATTGTTTGATATTTGCGCTTTCATTTTATAGGAAAAAATTCGGTTGTTGTTGTCGGTGAATTAACAATAAAAAAATAAAAAATTTCACAATCCTTTTTCACTATTAATACGGAGTAGTAACATAAATCACAATTATTATAATTGTAATTAGGAAGATTTGTGTAAAAGAACCTTTTAATTAGTCGATTATGTTTAAAATGACCTCTTAAGTAAATATTTGTGAAAAATGTCCTTTTAAGCTGTATTATGTTGTGAGGGGGTACTAGGCTGGGTTTTCCAGATAGCGGAGCTCCGGCGTTAACTCTCACGTGGGGGTCAGGTGACTTCTAAAAAAAAGCCCACACGTTTTTTTTTCTCCTTTTCCCCCCAAATTTCCCTCCTTTTCGAACTACCCCTTTTTTTTTCCCATTTCATACTTCCTATAAAAACGTGTGGGATTTTTTTTTAAAGTCACGTGACTCCCATGTGAGAGTTAACGCCGGAGCTCTACCGTTGACCACCCGTAAAACTCAGCCTAATACCCACTCACAACATAATACAATTTAAAAGGTCATTTTTCACAACTTTTCACTTAAAAGGTTCTTTTAAACAAAATCGACCACTTAAAAGGTCCGTTTAAACAAATTTTCCTTGTAATTATAATTATATTAATTAATATGTCTTTCCGTGTATTTGCACCTTTTTTTTTGTGTGTGTTAGAAAAAAAAAAACACAAGACAGACTTTTATTAAGTTATTGTAAGACGAGTTAAAGTTATCCTAAAAATATTAAAAGTTACCTTTATATAGTATATACTATAAAAGTTACCATTATTCATTAAAAAACACTTACAATGTATTAGATTAATTATATTAGCCTTTATAGCTTATTACCCTTAAATGAATTAAAGTTACTATAAAAATTGTTAAAACTAACCTTAAATTGACCGATTTGCAATAAAATTAACTAGCCCGCTTAAACGTACAAAACTTATTAAAAACTAAATGGAATGATGGATAATTAGTTAATAATAATAATTATAAACGCGTTTTCTTGCTCGCAAAATCGAAGATTCCTTAAAGTACGGTGAGTAAGGAAGTTTCGATGAGTACGGAGAGATACGGAAGATTGTTACATACAAATATACAATGAAGAACAAAGTTAGAACATTTGCATGTGGCGGTTTTTTTTTTTTTTTTCGGGACAAGTGCATGTGGTGGATTTTAATGTAATGCAATATATTTGATTTTTCTAGCCATTAATGTACATAGTGCATAATTTAATTGATGAGGATTATTCTTCATCAACTTACGGATATTATTAATTATTTTTGAAACTTCTTTAAGATAATTCATAGTCTAATTAATAGTTGTTTATTGAATTATATGATTTTACAATTAGAGGCGCTCATAAAAAACTGAAACTGAAAAACCATTTTGAAAATTCGAAAAGTTGGACTAAAAGGTAGGTAATATATATACCAAAAATATTAATATAAATTATTACATTTTCACTTATCTGAACTTATCTTATCAAAATATATCTGAACTTGTTAAAACTTATTTTAGTTGTAATTGTTGGGAAAAACATATTGATTCCAATATATAAGAAAGGATGAAAGGGAAAAATACTTGATTGAAGATAAACTTAACACTCGGTTGTGCCGCACATAAGCATGCATGCACCCGCACGCTCGCCTGCGAGCTATAGCTCGATCTTGCCGCAACAATGGGAGCATTCAAGCTATTGCTTGCGAGTTATAGCTTGCACCTGTTGAGCTAACTTCGATCGATCGCTCACGAGAAAAGCTTCAACTTGCATTGCCACCAATACAACTCCTACAGTAATTTGAACTGAGGTAATCCTTTTATTTTTCATGAACTGAACGTATCTGAACTTAAATTATTAGATTTGAAGTAAGTGAAAATCAGATAAACATAACAGGCCCTCATATAGTTACGTTTGACAAAACGATTAATTAAGAAAAAAAGGTTAAGTCAGATCAATTACATTTTTTATGGTACAACTTAGATAATTAAATTACTAAAAAATGCTTGTGCCTTGTAGCATACTCTAAGATATTACTTTGTATGGTTTTGACTAGGCTATTCAACAAACTATTACCAAGAAGCTGAAAGTCATTTGGACTTAGTATTACTTTGTAATCAATTGCCAAATTATTGAACTAGGCTAATGTATGGCATGGTTTTTATTATCTAAACGTTTTATTTTTCAAAAATAGTGTGTCAAAAGTTAGTAATCAAGCCAAAAGATTAAAAAGAATTCAGTGTAACGGTGGATTTTAAATTGGATAAAGTTATCACTTATGTTGTCAAAGTGGAGCTATTTTAAGTTTGACATTTTGTATTTGCACCTCTTAATTAAAGATGCCTTAAAACTGAATTTAGACGACATTAGAATTAAATGTGGCATATACAGAATTCCTACTTGTCCACGTTATTCTGCATGTAATCACTTCCATTATTGTCCAACATGCATATATGTATCTTTAAGAAAACAAATATATTGTTTACGTACGTACCTGTTAATTGAGTATAAATTTTTAGTACTTCGTATCATTTTTAAGTACTCCGTATCAAATAAAGAATATGCGTGATCCAGGCCAATTGATTAGGGAATGCACTAATCATCCATTTCAAAAAAAAAAAAAAAAAAAAAAAAAAAAAAAAAAAAAAAAAAAAAAAAAAAAAAAACACTAAGGTATATAGAGGTTAATTAATAACACAAGTTAAAAAATAAAAAATAAAAAAAATTCAAAAAGGGAAAATTAATTTACTAGATTTTCATTTATCATAACTTATCTAAATTAGATTGAACTAATTTCAACGTATATAAGCTTATTATACATAGTTATTTTAAGTTTAAATTAAACTTGAATAATAACCCTTATAAACCTAGTAACCTTATAAAATTTAAACTTGATTTTCATAAATATTTCTTATTTGAACATAGACTTTATATGAACTTATCATAACTTATTTTTTCTATGAATAAGTGCAAATAAGATGAGCAAAGTAGAGTCTTAAAACAATAATATTTATACTTTGTATTAATTTATAGTTTGGAATAAAATTGTAATAGGTTGTTATTGGTTGAAAACTTGCAACCAACAGTAACAACAACTACACGTATTATTGTTCAGTTTCTTTTCGTTGTACTCGCTATCAGAGAGAAAAAAAAAAAAAAAAAAAAAAAAAAAAAAAAAGAGGCCTACACGTATTACTCTCTCAAACTCGATCTAAAAGTTGTACTCGTACATCATTTTATTATTACGTGATTAGGCAAATTAAAAAGAAATTCTCATGGTGAAGGGCTTGAGAAAGTTGAAGGAAAAAGGGTTCAATACTTAATAAAGAAACGCATAGAAGTCTTTGAAGAGGTACAGGCTAAAACCCAAGCAAATGTCATGTGCCAAGGAGAAATTTTCAACATTGTGAGTTGTAAATATAATCATCAAAGCAAATTTTTTTTTTTTTGGGACGAAAAAGCAAATATAATTTTGGGACAATTTGTCCACAAATTTTCTCTCATTCACACCATAAATTCTATTAGAAAAGACTAGCTTAGTTATGCGTAAGCACGCGGTAGGCAGCTTGGTTGAAAGTATATACTTTCTCTGTTTCACAAATATTGCAACAATTATTATTTTTTTAGTAATTTTTACAAATATTGCAAAATTTTTGTATTTGCAAATGTTTTCTTTCCTTCTCTCTTCTCATCATATGGGTCTATATATTTATTCCTCTCTATCTCTCTCATCTTCTTAAAATTCGTGTCCCGTCACTCATATTGCAATTTAGAGGAACGGATGAAGTACATAATAAAATGGGAAATTTAATTGATTAGAATCCTAATATGATTGTATTAATTATATTACTTTTGATCCATTACTACAACCCTAAAACAAACTTGGCATGCATGAGAAAAAAAAAATACTCTAATTAGAATCGTCTTGTGTGTATTAGTTAGAATAGTCTCAATAAATAGTTTATTATTTTTTAATTGTTATAATTTATACTTATTGATAATTAAAAAATTACTAATTAACTATTTGCATCGATATATGTACCAATTAGAAATAAAGCAAGTAATAAAATACAGAGTATAGAGGTAGTATTTAATTTTTATTTTACCTTTAAGTTTACTTTTGTACATATCTTAGTCGTAACCATACAAAAGTTTCTTTATTGTTGAGATTTGACTACTCCTACTGCTGTGCGTACATCTCACCATTTTGGAAAGTGTTCTTTCTTGATTAAGGTTATCCTGCATGCCCCCTTATTTTACATTTTTTTCACTACTGATAAAAGTTTTGCATTGGCAACGTGTACCATGTTTTATTTTTAAAAAATATTAAGGGAGTAGAATATATCCAAACTCTATACTTCTTGTGTTCTTTTTTACTTTACCGTTTTGGCTTTCACACAATTCACTAACCTTCTTTTGACCATCTTTTGTGGATTATATGTAATGAAAAACATATTGTGTGAGATCTTGCTAGAATCATCTCAATAAGTATTATCATAATATATAACCACTTTTATAATTGTTACGTATGGAGGATTAAAGTTATTAATGATTATAGTTCTACATTGGCAAGCATTGCATGATAAGTGAAACATGTCAATTAAAAAAAATGAAGGAAGTAATTATTTGTTAATGTATATGAGATTAAAGATACTCTATCGATAAATGTTTTACTTTACTTAAAAAATGCCGAAGGAGTACTTGTAATAAAATATTTACATCGATACACATAAACGATAAGATTATTATGAAATGAAGGAGTCCTTCATAGTATATATCCATTACCCAAAAAAAAAAAACCCAAAGCATGCTCCTTCAATACAAAAAAACAAAAAGAAAAGAATTGAAATGAGGAGGACACGCATGAAATTTTATACCTAAAAAAAAAAACAGAGAGAGATAAATGAGATGAAGGGACACACATGGAATTGTTGCAAAACAAGTTACTGTGCAATTGCCCTTTCCACCCAAACTTACAATTCTCTTTTTAGTATTGTATAGATGTCAAAAAAAAAAAATGTTAAAATTTTTTTATACCTACTCCGTATATAAAGTAAATCAACAAGTTTAATATCCACAAGTGAAATTTCAAATTATGTATGAAATTCTGTAGTAATGTAGTACGAGTATATAATGTGCTCGCTTTCAGTGGCGGATTCACGATTTTCAATTTGGGGGGACAAAATGCTTAACTTACAAAAAGCTTAACAAAAAAAAAAAACAAAAAAAAAAACTCAAACACACAAATTGGTTAATACTTAATATTAAAATTTCAAAATAAAAAACATACTTAGTCATACAATTCAAAACAATGAAAAAAATTACATTAAAATTACACTTTCATTCTTCGAGTCTTCATATTTTGGAAGCAATCAACAATTTTTTCATCGGAGACTCCTAAGAAGATTCTAGTAGCCTTGAATTTGTTTGAATTAGGTGAATCATTTGACATTTTCTAATTAAATTGAAAAATATATATCAATTTCCACAATCCACATCATTGCATAATAATAAAACCTAAGATTAAAATTGCAATTAAGATTAAAATTGCAATTAAAATTAAAATTCAACAAAGATTGCAATTAAAATTAACAATAATTCAACAAAAATCTAGAAATTAGGGTTAACAATTGGGGATTTCAAATTGGGGATTTCGAATTAGGGTTAACAAGACATACCATTGATGGATTTGATGCAGCGAAGACGGCTGAGGCTCGACGGTCCGATGATGAGAGCGTGAGGTGAGGCAGCGCGTAGGCGGCGCAACTAGTGAAGTGGTGACAGGTGAGGTCGTGAGGACGGTCAATCACTCAATTACGGTCTACTGGAGGGCGGTGGAGGCTGGACTGGTGAGGCAGCGACGCAGCAAAGAATGGAGGTCGTTTTTTTGTTTTTTTTTTTACTTTTTTTTTTTAATTTTTTTTAAAAAAAATTGAGGGGACAGTTGTCCCCCCATGTCACTTAATTGGGTCCGCCACTGCTCACTTTGCTTCTAGAAAATTGAAAAAAATAAAAAAACCACTAATAGTTTGATGCATTAGTTGAGTAACTCGATCTTAGTCAATAATAGTATGATACTCCGTATTATATAGTGTGCATGATTATAATCCTATGAATTCTTCATTAAATTACAGTAAAATTGCAATTATTTATAACAAATTATATCATGCTATATATTTGACTTTGATATTAATCCCAAATTAATTAATGTCATCCGTAGTTTTTTTTTTTAGGAGAGCGCAAGAATTCAAACTCTACAATAACAATAGCAACTTATGCTATTTGACTTTGATGTGGATCATGGATGAGACAAAAAAATAAGGAGAGGGAAGTGAGAATTATAATAGGAGGTGGTGGTGTGACGTGTAGAAGAAGGTGGACACGTGAGAGTTTGCATGAGTACAACACACCAAGCAAAAGTACAACACACCAAGCAAAAAACAAAAAGAATAAATTAAAAAAATTAACAAAGGCACTTGGGGTATGAAAGGAATTATTGCAAGTCAATATAATGTACACATGCCCTTTTTACTCAAACCATGTTTTCTCTTTTTAGAATGTTATAGATAATGCACCAGTACTTTTCCTTCAGGAAACAAACAATAGGCATATATAGTAGTATAGTAACTTCTATCAACTTTGCGATCTTGAATTTTTGATACTTTTTGTAATATTGAAAACATAATTATTTTACAAACCACAATTTTTCGTTCCCTCTAGGTTTTCTTCTTGAGAGCGTTTTTTGGTTCCCTCTAGGGTTTCTCGCTTAGGAGGGTTTTCCTAGCCTTCATTGCTAGGTTATTTCAATATTTTTTAAAGGTTTTCCTTCTCTCTTCTCCCTTTTCTCTCCATCTCTACCATCTCTTTCCTCTTGGTCTCAGTTGTGAATTTTTGTAGGGGCTTCCACTGGTGTTCTTACCGATGGTAAGCCCCCAAAAACCTTTTAATTGCTTTCAATAAATAAATCTCATCCTTGAGATGATGATTTTTCTCTTGACTTTATTTTCTTTTTATGTTTGTATGGCAAAAATTGAAGATCTAGGGTTTCATAATCTCTACAAGAATCCGGAGGACCACATGAGTATTTACTCAAACGACTATGCATCAGTGGATTTCAAGCCGAATAAGTGCGAACTCACAGATTGTATTGCTCCAGATGAAGTTTTTTATTAAGGCGATTGTTAATCAAATCTATGATGTATTTAGTTTTAAGGTGTGTACTTGTGTTGAAATTCTTGATTTCTTAGGAATTATATGTAAGTGCCGTTTGGCTATATTTTATTAATGAAACCCCTTTTTCTTCTTGTCAAATAAAAAAACATAATTATTGTAACAACCCGGTAATGACATGGTCTCTAATGTGACTTGATGAAGAGTTGATAATAGCCGATAATATAGTGAGTGATAGTGACCCATGAATGCATAATACTCCCTTCATTTCTGAATACTCACAATAGTATAGTGACACTAACCCGTAAATCCATAATACTTGAATACTCACAATAGTTTGACTTACATATGTTCAATGCACAAGTTTAACCTTGAATATATACAAAAAAATATAAATAAAATGAATATTTGAAAATATATATTGAAACTATACAACAACATATTACACAATTAAATATGATTATTATTATATTACTCGTAGTAATAATATGTAGTCAAAATTATACGCATATATGAGTAGTTTTACAATCAAACTGTTGCTAGTATTTAAGAACGAAGGGAGTACAAAATCGACAATGACTTAACAATGTTCCAAATATACCCAAACTAATATGACCCGATGAACTTGAACCCATTATAATCCTTCTAAACCTGATAACGTGACCCAAGTCAACCAGATTCAAATCTAACCCAATCTTAGTATAAACCACTAGTTTTCATAACCAACTCACCGACCTAATGAACTTGTATTAACCTAGCTCATTTAAAGTTAAACTGCTGCTAGTATTCCAGAATGGAGGGAGTATTCTATAGATTGATATAGATATAGCATAGTAAAACCGATAATGAACTACGAAGTAACAGTGTTCTAAATATACCCAAACTAATATGATCTGATGAACTTGAACCCATTTTAATCTGTCTAAACCTAATTGCATGACCTGAGTCAACCGGATACAAATATGACCCAACCTGATTATAAACCGCTAGTTTTCATAACCAACCCACCAACCTAATGAACTCATTTTAAACCAGCCCATTTAAACCCAACACCCCAACCCCGCCATAAGTCCAAGCTCAATATAAACAAGCTAACCCCGTTTACTAACTGATATATCAACTGAAACCAAATATGTCCACCCAATTTGAAATCATGCAAAAACTAATTAAACTAACCCACCAACCAATTGAACTCTTTTCAACCCAACCCAAAACCGCTACTGCATAAAATCTTCTTAAATTGAGAGGTTAAGAGAAAATTGGAGGCTAAAATCTATTTTGACGAGTATTTATTGAGATCATTGTGAACCCTTTTATTAATGATTACTTCCAGACAGAGGGAATGCAGAGTAGTTTACTAAAAAGTGAGTGCAGGCACAATTCCCTCAAATGAAGCAGGAACTATTGACCTCAAAAGAGCACAAAACCATGAGAGGGATTACAGATAGCAGTAATTTATTCAATGGACAGTATTATTCACAACCAATATTCAAATGAAAATTTTTGCAAAGTTCGCTTCCAGAACCAGAGACACCCTGCAGTACATTGGAATGATTGGGAGCATTACGAACTCCTGATCCAAGCTCATCTTACACTTCCTTTCTAAGAGATTCAACAACTCCATAACGAGGAGTGGTAGTATTATACAATCTTTACAGCTATACAAAAAACTCACATTTTTCAGAACAGAAGCAGGCATAAGACTACACAGCACAAAAGAAACTTTGAAACTCTGTCAAGGGACTTGTCTAGCTGCAGTTCTTGCCTCCGCATCCGAGGATTGTTATGCCCAACAATAGCATAAGAATTTGAACGAGGGGAGGTGAATAAGTTGGTACCTGTGCTTCCAAGCATCCTTGTGTAAACCAACTCTCCAAGTAATCCAATTGTGGGATTAAGAATCCCAGCCATTGTAGGACTCACATAATTCGACGATGATATTGAGGCATATCGGAACTCTGGGTGTTGTGATTCGAATGGGTTTGATGGAAGATGTTGACTTGAAGGAGAATTTGCTGCAGGTCTAGGAGGTATAACATCATGTTGAGACTTCCTAACCTCATCTTCACTGCGGGAGGGGCCATGGCAATAAAGGGGAATCAATGAAGTTTGTGAGATGTTTGCCTTACAGACAGGGCAAGTCTTCTGTTGAGTTGGCTGTGAAGAGGAGCTTTGGACATGGAGCCACTTGAAAATACATGCCCAGCAGTAGAGGTGACCACAGAGTGTGACAACAGGATCATGAGCCAAGTCAAAGCATATATTGCAGTCAAAAGAGCCTTGACTACTTTCAGATTCTGCGGGTGGTGCTAGTGCTACATCAGAATTACACGTTTTATTTACCATTGCATCTCTGCTCGATTGGCGCTCAGCAGCATATTCTTGGAAATTATGAATCAAGTCCATTCCTATTAAGATAGATGGTAACCTTCAATTAGCTAATGAACAGGAAAAGATGTGTTAAGACAGAATTTCATGCAAGATCAGGATAGAGGGATTATGATACAACTTTCAATCAAAGTAATGGCTGAACGGACTGACTTAGTGATGTCTAGAATAAGGATTATTGATGGAAATTAACATGATGGGAAAACACCATTTACATCGGTATAACAAGAAAGAAACCTTAAACACGTACATTCCATGTAGCATAGACATTCTCAAAGACATGGCCAGATGGCCTAGAATAAGTAGGCAGGTGCTAAAGTTGTCTAGCTTAGGTCGTAAAAATACATCTAGCCCAAGGTAATTTGAGACGTTAGCGACAAAGCAGATACAGAATCTAGCAACATAATGAGCTTGTCCTAGCATAGATATCAAAAGATGAAACACAAAGTTTAAAGTTGGTTTCATGGATAACAAGCCAACCAGCTGATTAAATGAAGCATATACTTTAAACATAGATAAAGAGGAGACTTCTTATCAAGCATCATACAAACTGCACTCTACTAAGACGGCTCAAAAAATAAAGGCTAACAGTTCCAGAGACATTTGGGTAAGTTTTAATTCTAGAGCTCAAGTCCTAACTATAACATATCAAAATTAATGTTGTATAGTAACTCAACACCATCATAAATCATAATGATAAAAGCCAAGCACTGGCAAACTTCAGAAAACATCTGAATAAAATCCACAAGAACCAAACACGTCAACCATTATTAAGTTGGATAGAGTTGAACAGATAATTTACAGCCCTTGTAAACATTGGTACTTCAATTTAATGCACTGCAAATATCGTATTGACACACTTATACTCTATAAATCAGGCCTGTAGAACAGGACCCATAATGAAGTTTTCTGTCTTAGCGCAAAAGTTAATTCAGGTAGCAATCTTAGACCTTGAATGAATATTGAAGTTTTACATTGATCCCAAAAAGGTTATAAGCCAAATGATAGTACAGGATAGAAAGGATCCTACAGCTAGCAATGTGCCAGTGTCTTGGGAGGTGATTAGAAAAGGTAAATAAATCAAAATTATGTAAATCAAAAGCGCTCAATTTAAATAAAAGTACTCCAGAGAATCAGGAAAGTCTTATTCTCTCACCTCAATTATGCATTGGTTTCCTTTAGGAGGTATTTGGTTCACAGATAAAAGGGAAAAAAAAAAGAAAAAAGAAAAAAAAAACCATGAAAATTAGGGGGCAGGTTATGGAATGAAGGACAGGAGGAAGGTAAGGGATACAAAGAAAAAATGTGCACTAGAAATACCTCTTCATAATCCAGAGAAGTATAGGGATACTAATATTCTTAGGCTGAAAATATTCTCGCCTCTTCATAATCCAGAGAAGTATAGGGATACTAATATTACTAGAAAAGAACATTCGTTCCAGCCAAAAACAGCCTTAATCTTCACTAATAGAACTACAACATTGTGATCACAGCGACATTTAGTGAAACTTAAACGCCTAACAACACACAAAAAACTTCTTCAGTCATAGTTAACCACACTGTAACCGAAAATAAAAATATAAGTACAACTTTATTAGCATGCCCCTTCGCTATGTTAAATGGTCTCCAAATCATCATAATCCCTTGTTGCATTCTTCTCACCTGCATTCGACTATACCCTAATCAAATTGTTTCTATTCTGTCAAACATATTCTGAAACATTTCTACACTGATTAAATCAATCAGATACACCAATCATGAGGAATGAGATACATCATACATGAACAAGCCACAACAATTAACACTTTCAACAGCTGAAAGCTGGCCTAATGGCAGCGGAATCCATCTTTTAATTCATTTCCTCCGCCCACCTCTAAATCCTTGTCAAGCGATTCGCCTCTCGAAGAAAATATGCACTACAATTTACTTCCTCTATACCACATTGCACTTTCACTCACAAGTTTAATTCAGCTTGCAAACAACAAATCACATAGACAGTTCTCAATTTCTAAAAGGTACAAAATACACTAAAAGGAACATCAAAAGGTGTTAATCTCTTCATATTTGTCAAACCCAGAAATCTCATTTCCCTAAATCGCTGCTTTAGCGTCAATATTCATGTAATAAAGCTAAAATCAAACATTTTCAAAGGAAATTTTAACCCAAATCAAACATAACTTCTGCAATTCACTTAATAAAAGTATATCATCAAGCATTCAATAAATTTTAGAAAAAATGGTATTTACTATTATGCATTCAATAAATGAACAACAGTTACAAAAACCAGATAGGAATTTACCAGGAAATTACAGGGAAATTAAAGTCAATACGAATATTTAAAAAAATGTACCTGTAATAATCTGGCAAATGGGTTTCAACTGGGACAGATGAAAATATCTGATTTTTTTTTTTTTTTCAATTATTTGGGGAAAAAGAAAATATCTTAATTTAGATAAATGGGGATTGAGAAAAATGGAGATAGAATTAAGAGATTGGAGAGAGAAAGAAGGAATCTAAAGAGTAATGAGCACCGTTTATGCCGCGTAAAGCGGACATTTTTCCAAAGTGAGCCAATTTTGGCAAATATTAACCAAAATGGTTGCGTGGCAAAAGCATTTACCAAACTAAGCTTCCAGGATAAAACGCTGTCTCGGTCAGCGTTTTATGCCTGGGTTTTTTTTTTAAAAAAAAATCAACCTAAAAACGCTGTCTGGGACAGCGTCTTTGTTGTTGACCTTTTTTATTAAAATTTTTGTAATTGCCTTTTATTTATAAAAATGTTTTTTAAAAACAAAAACAGTTATACAAAGACGCTGTCCCAGACAGCGCTTTATGTACAAACTTCCTTGTACCTAAAACGCTGTCTCAGACAGCGTCTTATTTTCAACCTAAAACGCTGTCTGGGACAGCGTTTCTCTGCTGGTGTGCAAAACAGCAGCAGAATCAGCCTTTTGCCACTGATCTGCCACTTTCTTCTGCCCCCACCCACCACCCCCTGCCATGATTCTTGCCACCACAATCCACCAACAACCCCACCACCGACCACCATCTGCCACCACTTTTGACCTCCAACAACACTTCAACCAGCTCCACCACCAACCCCAACCATTCAACAACCGTCGATAACCACCCACCACAACCAACAACACTAAAACCACCATGAACAACCACATTAACCACCACGGGCCATCCTTTCTTCCCCATTTTCGACTATGGATTCCAAATGTCTGTTGTTTAATGTACATTAGCCCTGAAGGATCTATTTTGACTAACATAAATCCGATTTGGATAAATAAGCAAACAAAACTTCAAAACACAAACAGATTCATTCAACCAGCATGTCTTATATTGAATGCAATCGTTATATACAGCATTCCAGGAAAAAGGACAAAACAATGATACAATACGTTCACTACTCATCAATTTGGTGTAACCCTTCCCTAGCCTCACTGTCGTCCCTTCGTCTTGGACGACGCCGAGTGTAATGGTGAATGGTGGTGAATGGGTTCCGGCGCGGGGGGGGGGGGGAGTGAGCTGGCTGGACGATGCGTCCTCCTGGGTTTTGAAGGGTGCAGAACTGTGGAAGATGTACTCCTCTGCCTCTGTGTGCGACGTAGGATCACCTCCACTGCTACTCTGGACGGGGTCGAACCGCGAATGGATGGAGTGACCATCATCACCGTCCCGCTGTTGGATGAGATGACCGTGACCATGTCTGCGTAAGGAAGTCGCGGACATATCTCGCATCCGCTGGACCTGGGCTCTGGTGGGTCCGTCTGTAAGGGCGAGGGACAGTGCATCATACATCGCCACCATATCCGCCGCCTGTAGTAATCATCGATCAGTCAAGTACATGATATTTAAAAAAGTTAAAAAATGAGGATGATAAGTATAGTAAAAGAAACTCACATATCCGCTAATGACGTCATGTGTCGGGTGGTAATGGGTGGACGGTGGTGTGTAGCTGGGGTTGATGAAACGGCGTGTGATAAGCCTGTACCACACCATGTACGGATCGTCATGATCCATAACGCCCTGCATGGAATAACCCTGAATGACATGACCCAACCGCTGCTCCCATAGCTGAAGATACTGCCAATGCTCCAGTGCCCAGTTTGTCTCCGTCTTTCCCCGACGATCAATGTCGTGAAGGCGCACGACAGTGTCACAGTTCTGGGGAATAGGCTGATGCAGTCCGAACTGTCGCATGACGCGGTCAGGTAGGTGACTCTCCACAACCTTGAAACAGATCAGGGGGACCCGGGCACGCCACTCTCCCTGATGCTCCAGTAGATGTGCAGGCATGACATCTACCAACTCCGGTACATACGGATCCCATGTGATCTGCAATAACACATCCTAAATAAGTTAGTCCACAATCAGTATACACAGTACCTAAATGATTACAAATGTCTTCAGAGTTTGTACCTGATCCTCAATGAGTCGATCAAGGGCGTCTCGGTAGTATGGGAGACCCGTCGCCGCATGTGCCTGTGTGAGTCTGGGGACCATCCACCTGGGGCAACAAATTTGGTAAGTATGTTTACAAAATGAAATCGTATATGGGAAAAAAATGACAATTGTTACAAACCTGCAACCGTAAGCCTCATCAGCTGCAGGGCGAGGCGGAGCGATGTACGGCTCATACTGGTCATCCTGGTCCTGCTGCCCCGAACGATGTACAGCAGGCCTACCTGGTCTTCCTACGTGGATGTGCTCCCAAGCCCATAGCTTCAATAGCAAAACACAAAACTATGTTAAATATGACATTACTCATTGCATAATTCGCTTGTGATAATATACGTAGTATACCTGAAGCACAAACAGAGGTCCTCCAATCTCGAGCGCACCACTCCGTGAGGCTCTGCAAAGTTGGCGATACAACACCGCCAAAGAGGCACTACCCCAGCTGTATCCACGGATATGCTCCCAGTCGTGGTCTAACAGCTGTAGGTAAATAAGCTGCAAGTGGCTCCCGCTCTTGTTGCCGAAAAAACACGCCGGATATGAGGAAGAACAAGTACTCTCGAGCGTATCTCTGTACTGTGGCGTCATCGGCGTCCGCAGGCAAGCCCTGGAAAGTATCTCGTAACCAGACCGTCCTCAAGGCGGAGCCCCTAACATCGTTGGGACCCGGCTGCACCCCGAGAACCCGCACAACCAATCCAACGGGATCGACTAGAAATGATCCCGTCACCGCAGTCCCCTGTACTGGAAGGCGCGTCAGTATTTCCACGTCCCGCAATGTCACAGTCGCCTCCCCAACTGGTAGGTGGAAGGAGTGCGTCTCCTGCCTCCATCTCTCCACTAACGCCGTGACAAGGTGTCGGTCGATCTCCCTGAATCCCAAGCGATGTACCCCCGCCAAAGCCAGCGTACGTCACGTACTCAAGGCAACGATCATGGACAACAGGCATACAATGTTTAAAGCCATCGATACAAGGACCGAAGGCCCAAAACACTCGTTCAAACACTTCCATGTTGCTGTAGTATACACCATCCACTAAAGCTTTGTGTTTCCATACGACACATGTTCCCGGGTTCGACCGTAGGAGTGCTTGCATGAAGTGGGGAAGTCTGCCATATGAACTCTCCCAATCCCCAAATATCTCAGCTATAGCTTTCTCCTTGGCATACCACGCTCGTCGATACGGGACATCGAAATGAAATTGCTTCGAGATCAGTTCCTGTATGAATTCCACTTACAACGAAGGATCTTTCCGCACAAAGGACTTCATATACTCGGCTATTACGGACGAATCCAAGTGTGGGTGATCATTAGATAGTACTTCACTGACACATGTCTCCCGATGCGGGCCTTTGTACGTGACTATGGTAAAACCACGTGAGTGCTCACTCGATTTGGTACCCCGTAGCATCCAACCACATTTCTTCTTGCATCGTAGATGTAGGACACCATCATTCGAGGTCACTGTGGTGTAGAATTGATTCCTCTGAATAGAATACGTCTTCACCATTTCTTGAAGCAGTTTCTTGCTCTCAAAATACATTCCCTTCTCAAATTCTCCCCCTGGAACAAAAGAGGTGTGGCTACCCGATTCGGCCCAATACTAATCAACTTCATAGTTCTCGGGTACCTCACTGAACCAAGGTATGGGAGTTCTAACCAACGGCCGACCATCTTCCACCTGTGTAGGTTCATCATCCCCCTCTCCGTTCTCGTCCTCATCATCCATTTCCGCATACACATCATACACCGACAATTCATTATTCACAACATCATCAAAATGATTTGGCTCTTCTCGAAACGGTGAACCATCATCACCTTGCATAGGAGAGTAGCTATGCAATTGCATCGGCGAAGATGCCACGGTGTTCGATGACGACGGAGCAGGCTGGCCGAACACTGTCACGCGTCCCCCCGCATGTACTGGTGAAGCTATATGAGAACTAAAAGGCAAGTGAAATTGGTCGTCCTGAACCCATCCCATATGCATTCGATGGAATGTGGTTTGCGGGCTCTTGGAAGGACGCGGTGCTGTAATCAGAGACATATGTAGCTTGTTGTTCTGCCCGAGTACTTTGTTGGGTACATATAGGCACTGTTTCTACATATATCTCGTTGGGAAAACCCTTCATTCCTACCATGCTCCTCAAACCTTTCAAATGTCTGTTCGTAGAGACAGGTAACACTTGCACCCCATGACCAGTATCACACCTCATTTTAAGGTTCAGTTCAACAGTCATAGGGTTTGAACCAATACAACTGTGAACCTCATTCATCAGATCAGTCACAGTCATGTTCGGTTCAAGTGTTATAAGGTCCATATTCCCTCCACTGTACTCCACATTTGATCCATTACACAAAATTTCACCTCCCCATCGACATAACAACGCTACATTTTGTCCAGCCATATTCTACATAACAACCAAAACACATTTTACGTAAAGCCGTTAAATCATCCCTAAATCACCACAATCAAACAAAAAATCTTACATACTATACAAATTAACTACTAAGAACCCCTAAATCACCATTATTACACAACAATGTAGGTAATTACAATTGTTCAAAACCTAATAATTATCAACCATTGTCAACAATTTTCAACAAAACCAACAACAACAATTCAACATTATCCAAACTATTATCAACACTAACAATATCAACACTACCATTATCAACACTAACAATTCAACAATTACCAACACTAATAATTCAACAATACCAACACTAACAATTCAACATTTTTAACACTAACAACTCAACCTCATCAACATTTTAACCCAATTCCAAAAAAATTAGAAATCACCAACATAAACCCTAGAATTTAAAACACAAAGAAAGTTGAATGAATACCTATTTCAGGGTGAGGGGAGTGTATAGTGGGCTACACGGAGGGCGACGGTGGAGGTGACGGCGGGCGACGGTGGAGGTGGCGGCGCCGGCGGCGGTCTATACGGAGGAGCACAAGTATGAGAGAGAAGGGGATTAAGTTAGAGTTTGGGAAAGAAGGGGTTTGAGAATGAAGGAGGAGGAAATGAAAGGATGAAATACGCTGTTGGAGGGAAAAAAAAAACGACAGAAACGCTGTCTCAGACAGCGTTTCATTAATAACCTTAAACGCTGTATGAGACA